CCCCAAAACCCCAAAACCCCGATGCTTTTTATATAGTGTTTATTTTGTGTAATAAATAGGATAAATAAAAAGAGTAATATACTAATACAGTTTATTGCAATCCAATAAATTTACATCAAATAAAATAATTCTGAGATTATGGCAGAGAAATAAGAGATGCTTATTAAGGCAGATGTAGAAGCTGATTAACCCACTAAAGTCAAAGTAGAAGCTGATTAACCCTAGGAAAAGGGTATCATTGCAGGGATAAAAAAGTTAAGGGGGTAGATATACATGCTTTTTGCGACACTATTAAGTTCAGCTGTATTCTTGTAGACTAAGCTCCTATTTAAGGACTCTGCAATTACACCATACGAAATTAATTACTGGGTCGGCATACTATTAATGATTGTCTAGTATTTTGCATTGAGAATCAAAGGAGTCGACATATTTTACATTCCGAAGGAGTGCAGGACTGCTATTATCATTAGAACAGTGCTGGGTTATGTTTCAAATGGATGTATGTATGCAGGCCTTAAGACATTGTCTCTCTCCAAAGTGACGCTATTGTTTTGGACATAACCTGTATTTGTGGGTATTTTAGGATGGTATATATTGGGCGAGAGATTCACAAAGTTTGATGTATTAGGAATTCTGTTGGTGTTTAATGGAGTTATTTTGATTGCAAATCCATTTGAAGAAAGTGTAGATTATAAACAGTACCCATACGAGACCATTGGCAGTATTTTCACTTTATTTGGAGCGGTAACATCAGCAGGTGCTATGATATCGATAAGAAGTCTTGGTGGAAAGGTAGATTCCTTGCTCATGACAATGTATTGGGCTATGGGGAATGCTTTGTTTTCGCCTTTGAATCTTGGAATTAAAATTGCTAATGAGGAAATGACCACTGAATATGGTTGGTTTGAAATTTTTAGAGTATTGTGCATATTAATCAGTATGTTCGGCTACATGCAAATGCAAACACTCGCCTATGTTAGTGATAAAGCAGTAAGAGTTGCACCAGTTGCAACTTTTGTGTTGATTCTTAACTGTATGGCAGATATGATTATCCTTGGCACAAAGCCAAGTTTAATGCAGATAATGGGAGGAATTTTGATTATAAGTACTAATTTTGGATTAAGCACACTTAAGTGTATTGGAGTCATTTGATATTTAGTGATTCAGTAATCTCACTAAAAAAAACAAATCATCAAATATTATTTATTTCTTAACTTTCATTTATTTTGACTCATGGGGTTTTGGGGTTTTGGGGTTTTGGGG